AGTAAAGGCGCCGCGGCCGTCGCTCCTCCGTTGTCGGCGTAGAAAGCGAGGCGTTCCCGGTCTCGTCGCGGCGCTGGTCGCTATTGATCCATATCCCTTTGTTCGACGAGAAGGGTGGGGCATAGGGCAGCCTCCGAGATGACCCCCTGGTGTCGGAGAAGCGCCTTGCAGGGCCGCCACACTGGGCCGAGACCTTGAAGCACGATGTTCACGAAAATCTCCTCTGAGATTGTGCTTCCTATTTTCGCGATTTGATCGCGTAGGCTCCGACAGCGGTTGATGTAGCTGTTGACCTTCTCCCCTAAGGCCATTTTAGTCTCCAGTAGCTGCTGGAGCAGGCGGCTCGATGAAACCGAATCTTTCGGTTGGTACACGCCGTTTAAATGGCGCCAAGCATCGAGGGCTGGAGCGGGAGTCGTCTTGTACGAGCGAATGCTCAACTGCTCCGCCTACGACATATTCCGTAGGAGGACGCCGTACGCCATCAACGATTCGTTGTAGTACTGCGCTCGGGCGTCAACAGTGTCCTCAGTGGGTCCCGAGTAGCTCCCGTCGAAGTAATGAAATGTTTGCGCGTTTTGCAGCAGCAGTTCCAGCTCGAAACGCCACGTATAGAAGTCTCTACCGTCAAAACACACACTTGTCTTTATTTTTTATATGCTCAAAAACCTTGATTGCGCAGATAAAATTGCTTCTTCGATGGGACGGGGAGTTTTGGGTGTTGAGCCGTTTGTGTCGAGGGAGAAGGTATGCGGGGCGGTATTTTGGTCGTTCGAGGCCGGTTGAGTGGGTTGGGAAGATGTTCCCGCGTCGCCATTCCGCAATGTTTGGAGTTGTTGCTCCAGGCTGGTGAGTCGCTGAAGCATCTGTGCGAGGGCGGCGGTTCCAATCGTCGTCGTTTCCTCGCTTCTCGAAGCCGGGTTGGTCTGCGCTTCAGCCGCCAGATTCGTCTGACCACCAGATCCTCCGGCCATTCTCACACGCGAGCGTGTGCCGAACGCCACTTTCCGTTCGCCGAAGATTTCGGAGGTGGCGGTGCGAAGGATTCCTGAGTCGCTCTCATACCATGTTGCGATCAGTTATTGATCGACCCTAGGATCACCTCAGGAAGGTTCGCAGACGTCTGAGTAGTGGTGGTGGGCCCTTGACCTCAATAGCAGAGTGGATGTAAAATGCATGAGATGATAAAAAAATGCAAGTACAGTAATATAAATAAGAGTACAAGGGAATACCAATCGACCTAGTCTAGCCATGTACTCTAAAGGGTACATTCCCTCATTGCAGCGAAACCCAACCGTGCGACTCCAGACGGTTACGAACTGCCTGGGCAGAATCCTTGCCACTGCTGCTGCCTGATGATGTCTGCTCGACGGTTCATATCATTTCGTAACCGTACGACCCTTCGCGTCACTTCCGCGTTTTCGTCTCCAGCCTCGGTAGTGTGTGCTTCGTTTGCTACGGTGAGGAGTGCACAACAATGCTTCGTCAATTACTATTCGTAACATACTCTAAGGGGTACATTCCCTTATTGCAGCGAAACCCAATCGTGTGACTCCATACGGTTACGAACTGCCTGGGCAGAATCCTTGCCACTGCTGCTGCCTGATGATGTCTGCCCGACGGTCCAGATCCTTTCGTAACCGTGCGACCCTTCGCGTCACTTCCGCCTTTTCGTCGGTAGTGCGTGCTTCGTTTGCTACGGTAAGGAGTGCACAGCAATTCTTCGTCAATTACTATTCGTAACAAAGGTAAAGGTTATAGTGGAAACCCCGTTTGGCATTACCCCAGCTGTCAGCCGTAACCCGCATACCCATATGTTTACACGCCTCGCTGGGTATCAAGGTTGTTCTATCCACTCCCGGATAAGCACTTGTGTAATCCCCTTCTGGGGGCTGGCTGAATGCGTCGCAGGGGGGTTTGATCCCGGGACCTCATCTTTGGAAATTGAACCAGCTAACTAGCTGGGCCACGTCAGGATAGATCATGAGTATGGAGGCTATAAGAGGCTGATGTGGTTGCTAGATGTAGGATAGCTACTAACAGATAGAATCACTCACTCTAGGTTGCAACATTGAATGTATTTGCTTCCTTTCCCGTGATAAAATGGGCAAGTTCATGAATCGGCATTAGCCACCCAAGTGTTTGCATATTTCCAAACGTTGTCTCGCAGGGCAAGCACACTTTGTCCCTTTGTTCGTGATTTCGCACCACCGCTAATTAACGACAGCTCACGCAACAAGATAACGGCCAGCGCAGCTTGGCTTGAATCTCGGTGAAGAAACGGATTTCTCGATGGCCTTTGATAAACACCACCCATGCAAATCGTATCCGCGGCCACTGTACATCACAGATCCAAAGGATTTGGCGGGACCTACATTTTCAGGCGACCAAAGGAAGTCTTGCCCCGACCCGACTCAATGTGGTGTCGGCATGCTCTCTGAACATCGAAAGGTTTGTTTGTGCCATCCTGTTGAGCCAGGCATCAGCAATTCCTGACGAGGCAGGCAAGATTCAAGATTGTACCCATCTGGAAGTTCTGTTTGCTGTTTGCTGCACACCGGCGCCGTGGCATATAATGCTGATGGTAAAGGCGGTGACGAAACACATTTTCAAACATAACCCTTTCGGTTTTGAAACAAAACTGCGTGGAACTAGACCTTATATTACGAAATACATCTTTCTGCTAGGGAGACTTACGGCCTACTTACACGTCAACTAGAGCTGCGTACAGAACTGCCTGAGAATCCATATCACCCATGTTCATTGGGTGGTTCACGGGAATCAAGGCTGATCCGGCTTCTCTCATTACTGTACTTGAATTTTGGAGCCGCGGATGCGAGCTGACCACTAATGAATTCCGAGTTTCCCACATTCACAACAAAATACAGCTGTTCTCGTTTATAGTCCGACGGAATGAGACGCCGCGCGCGGACTATGTGCGAAAACCTTCAAACCCCGGGCAAAACGCGATACTCCGTCCAGGAAAATTGCATGAAGAGTGGTTTGTTTGCTACTAGTTTTGGATTTCGTCTTTTACGTAGATTCGGACCGCGCTTGCTTCAACTTCTCGTTGCACGGTTCCCCGCGCTGATCAATGTCGCATGACTAACGGGCAAAACAAAACAAAATCAATGATGGTTTGGGGGTCAAATAGAAGGTTAAAACTTCTGTTTTACCCTGTAAGCGAGATAAATGAGATGTCATCGTCGAGCGCGCTGGAGACCGCGCGACAGGATTAAAAAATAGTCACGGTCAAGAGAAACAATTACTTCCAATTCCAAAGTTAAATATCGAATCGATGATCCCTTATTTATCGTTCTCCCTGAATGTTGCGCTGGTTCGATCTGGAGCCTCTGATTGGCTGCGGAGCTGATTCGTGCAATGATTCGGTCAAGCTGCAAAATTTCCTGCCAAACAAGGGACTATAGGGGTCGGGCCAACCCTAGGTGATATCGGAAAACACTACGCAAGGTGGAAAAATAAATCTTTTAGCGAGAGCCTCTAACCCGAAACATTTGTATTGAAAGCACTCTGAGCATCACACCACCAGTAGCGTGGTTCAAAATTCCAGACAGACAGCTGCCGCCGCACTAAAACTTACCACTGCAAATTTCCTGGTTTGCGGTGGAGGCCATAAAGGGAGAGCACAAGCCATCCAGCCAACTGAGTGAGGCTTCGATTCGACCCCCCCATTTGTCAGCTGGGCAGGTGTTCGGGCACGGGCGGTGATGGTGCGGTGAGTGAACTCAGCAGCACTCCCAGCCACGGCAGCCATGGCGAGGCAGGAACAGGAAAGTGAAACTACCGTGGTCGAGGCGAGACACATGGATGGATGTGCATCGTTTCTGACCAACCGATCATTGGAGAGGAGTCCATCTTGACCCGGTCGTGCTATCCTCTCATTTCCAGTTTCAAGGATTCATGTGGTTCAGTTCAGAGACACACGCGTTCCGTACCTCCTACGCTAACTCACCCACGAGTTTCCCTTAGCAACATATCTTCTTCGAATGTCGTGAATACGCGCTTTTATCGCCTATTCTGCACCGTGATTGCCGTACATTGCCGTAGGAGGGTGATCTTAACGACATATACTAAAATAGCAATTTAGTTGTTTGTCGACCTAGTCAATTATCCTATCTCAGATATCAGCGGATCGTGATGTATCCACACGCCGATCAAGCGCTGAATAAGCCGGACAACCGACCAGCACTCCCCCTCCCCCTCCCTCCGTCAAATGCGTCCAGCCTCAATTTTATCCCGTCCTTCGCGTCGCCCTCGTGGGGTCCGGGTCCCTCGTCGCTGATGTTCGCGTCGCTCTCCGGCTCCGGCGCTGGCGCTTTCAGCGCCCCTGGCGGCGAGATTGCTCACGGCGACGCACTCCGGAGATCCGCCTCGGATCGCGGCGCATCCGCCGCGATGCACGTTCCTGCCACGTGGTCCTCCGCGCTGACGCGCGCTGGAAGCTCCACGATGGACGTCTTCAGCGGCTCGCCGAGAGAAAGCTTTCCGTACACTGCGACGACGCATAGCGATCGCTTCAGTCACGCTCACTACAATCACATTGGCGGGAACGAGAAGCCCGTCGGGAGCAATGCGGGGTCGTCGGCACAGGGGAGCTCGCAGCTGTTCGGCCAGAGCCCGACGACCGACCCGCGCTCATGGCACGAACGCAGCAACCAAAGCAAAGGCCAAGAGCCTCTCCTGTCGAGACATTTACTATCGCGAACGTTGCTCCCGGGCTCTTCGCGGTTCGAATCCGACCGCGGCGACGCGGCTCCGTCTGTCTTCGCCAAGCCCGCGCCGCTGCCGGTGGGACAGAATCACCACCCTTTGAGCGACGCTCCGCCGCCGGTATCAGTCGCCGGTGCATCCGCGGAGACCGCCGCATTGCACGGCGGCCAATGCGGCGGGTCTCAAGAAGGCGACGGCGGGGGAAGCGCTGGTCCGAACAACAATTCGACGCGGGGAGCGTCGAAGTAAGTCACTGTCGCTTGTGTTGGATGTCCGACCGTTCGTTTGTCCCGTCTCCCCGATTTCTCCGCGAGTCTCCCTCCGATTTTCCTCCTCACCAACTTTCCCATCGCTTTCTTCGCTCCCTCGTTGCACGTCCTGCAACTTCCCGTCGCACGTCTCCCGCAATTTCCGTCGCGCGTTCCCCGCTCATCCAGTTCCCCTCTCCCGTACGTCCCTCCAGGAAGCGCAAGCCCGTGGCGCACGCGGGGAGCCGGTCGGTGGTGGCGGCGGACGGGTACTTCTGGCACAAGTACGGCCAGAAGAGCGTCATGGACCGCGCCATCACCAGGTACAGCCTTCCCCATATACAGCCTTCCCCATATGCAGCCTTCCCCATATACAGCCTTCCCCATATACAGCATTCCCCAGATGCAGCCTTCCCCAGCTATAGCCTTCCCCAGATGCAGCCTTCCCCAGGTATAGCCTTCCCCAGGTACAGCCTTCCCCAGGTACAGCCATAATCGGGTAGAGCCCCACCTTTGGTGTGGCTGACGTCATTGTTGCCGCTGCAATTGTTGTCGCGGTGTGGACTCGTGTTGGTTGCACACCGTGGAGGCGAGGCGCAAGCAGCTGAATTGCGTTGCTTTGTTGAGATCGCCGCTGCAAATGCATGACGCTTGCGTCACCCGGCGCCCTTTGCTGTACCTCGTGGGTGTTGTCGTCACGCCTTACACCCTCGTTCTCCTCATGCACACCTTCCCCCTCTCCCCCCTTCAGGGCGTACTTCCGGTGTGCGCGGCACAGCATGGGGTGCATGGCGCGCAAGACCGTCGACGTCCCCATTGCTACAGCCGCAGCCGCTACATCATCCGCCGCTACAGCCTCCGCTCCGTCCGTCTCAGCAGCTGCAGCGTCGCTTGCTACAGCCGATGGCAGCATCGCCAAGCCCAGTGACGCCGCCCCTTCCAGCGCAGCAGCACTGAAGCCGCAGGTGTCGTACCACGGGACACACAACCACAGCCAGCCCGGCCCCTGCTCCCTCAGCCTCCCCAGCTGTGCTGCCGCTGTTGCCTCAGCTGCTGCTGCAGAGGGAGACATGCACGAGCCTGTGTCCGCTTCGCCCGGAGCTGAGGGGGCCGACGGTGCTGCTGCAGTGGTTCCTGTACTGCGGACGGATCACGAGAGAAGACCCGCGGTGGCAGAATCAGCAGACGTGGCTGCTGGCAGTGGCACGGGTGCGGCCGATGCGGCTTCCGCTGTGGCCCTGCTTGGCCTGACCCACCGCCTGAGTCTCAACTCCACTGTCTCCCTCGACTGTGCGCTGCTCTCACCCGCCTCCGCTGCTGCCCACCCCGCGCTCGCACTCACCCTCGCCACGCCCACCACCGCTCACAATCTCCCTGCGCCCACACCAGCCGACGCCCAGAGGCCCAGTACTGCGGAAGCAGCAGCAGCAGCGGCGGCAGCAGCGGCTGGTGATTCCGGAAGCTGCACGGATGAGCCGATGACGGAGCAGTCAAAGCAGAGCCCGGCGGGCACGAGAGGATCCATGGAGGTGGGGTCAGTGCGCGCCGAGGGGGGCCGTCTTGCATGCTCGCCTACACGTGCCAGGTCACACTCGGTGGAGGCGCAACCCGGGGAGAAAGGCGACGCGTCACAGAGAGGAGGCAATGGGGTGGGGCATCATGGAGAAAAAAGAGCCATGGCTGGTGCTTTGCTCCTTCATCCTTCTGCTGCTGCTGCTACAACTGCTGCGAGTCATCCCTCTATATCGGCAGCTTTTGCTGCCGCTGCCAGTGCCGCTGATTCTGGTCCCGCCTTTGCTCTCCCATCCGCTGGCCCGGGAAACCCCTGGGCCATGGCGCCTCCTCCTGGCACCAGCGTCCCTGGCACCATTCCTCCTGGCGGCACCAGCAGCACTAGTTTTCATGGCCTGCCTCTGCCTGCACTGCCCATGCCCATGCAGACACACGCGGCAACTTCCACCCACCTTGCTTCGATGGCTCACGCATGGGGCCATCACTCTCACCCCTCCCTCCCGTCTGCTGCTGCGATTTCTCTGTCTCCTTTTGGCCACCACATGCCCCCTGGGCTGGTAGGAATGTCTTCCATGCACCAACCAGCACCGCTCTTCAACCCCTTGCACCACAGCCAAGTGGCAGCTGTCAGTGGGAGTGCGTTCTCCTATCCCTCCCCTCAACTCCAGGCAGCACAGGTGCAGACACAGATGCCAGTACAAGCACAGCTGCAATTACAGGCACAGCTGCAAGCACAGCAACAAGGACCATCAATCCACCAGTTACAGGCACAGCCACCAGGCTCAGCTGATCCCGTTGCTAACTCCCATACCCCCTTCAATTTTCGCTCTGCAAGTTATCCTCAGTTGTCCACCTCTAAGCCTCTCCTGCACCATGCTCCATCTGCGCCTGGCAAAAGCACAGACCACCACGGAGGACGTGATCTCGATGAGTCAGCACGCCACCTGGCATCGTCTGGTAGCGACTGGAACAGTATCATGGAGGGAAGTCACCAGGAAGCCAAGAGGATACGTGTGGAGTGGGGGCAGACAGTGACTGGAGTTCCAGAGGGATCAAGAAGAGGGGCTACTGCATTGGTTGCTGCAGTTGAATCCAACTCCACTCATAGAGAATCTGCACACGTGGGTTCTTCTTCAGAGAAAAATAACACAATTAAGGATTCCAACCTGGACCTGGAACTGAAACTGTAGTTTTGTTGTGCAAAGGACGCTTGTTATGCACGACGTAGAGATGCTTGTAAATATATAATAGTGAAGCTGCTCCCATTTGTCCTATATTGCCACATAATTTTTTCCGTTACAGCGAACAATTTGCTCAGGTCCCAGAAAGATCCGAGATTCACGCCTTGATGATCAGACAGCACAGGACAACTTTCACGAGTAGGGTGTTTTCACTTCGACATAATCATTCCACTCTCGCACTCGCAACAAGTGTACACCCTCTTTCTCAACCTTTTCACCTTGCGCGACTCGTCGCTACAGTACTTGTCTCATGCGATCTGGTGCCAATAAACGTTCCTAGGCAACCTGGGGGGAAAGCCGGACCACGTGACAAACTGGCTCAAGGACGTAAAATCTCCGTAATCGCTTCATAACTTTCCCAAACAGATGAAAACGTTGACAAAGCTTTTTGTAAAGTGCATAACCTTACCTAACCGCATTCTTCGCATTGTGCTTGTACAGTAGGTGACAAGACCATTCTGAACGTGGTGACGTTCTACAATCCATGTACGTTCTCAAACCAGGTGCTCTACTAGCGCGAAAGAAGGTGTACCGGACTCGCCATCTAGAAGCCGTGCTTCTGATATTTTCCCTATGGGCTGGGCTGGGCAACCACAGATTGCGCTTCTGGTTTTAAAGCGACAAGAAACACAGCCGTCGGATCCAGCCTTGCTTCGCTGGCACACTGACGAGCATGTGATCGTCCACGCGTGCCTTGTGCAAGATCGCAAATTCGTGTTTGTCCTCCTCACTCTTGGTGACACGTAGCCAGCTCTCAGGGCGGGTGATTATCCAATCGTGATGCTTATGGTTGTCACAACGGCTTCCAATCTATCCACGCATTCAGCAAATCGTGGTGAGTCGTCGTCGCACCTGAACGATCTCCATTGCGGAATCGCGTGAGGAGCATGTGATTCGGAAGGCAGCAATGAAACCATTTCATTCAGTTCTGGGCAGACCATGTGGTTTCCAAGAAAACAGACACCACAACGAGCAAGTCCTGAAACAGGGTTAGGGTCGACTTGCTTTAGAGTAAATCGATCCTCATTCAATTTTCATTGCGGTTCAACAACCTGAGGTGTTGCTGAATGTGTTCCAGTACACGTACCTTCACGCATCCTCCGAGAGTTCCCGCCTCAAATGAGTATAGAACAGAGCAACTGATTGATTGGTTTTTCCAGTGGAGTGGAGAGAGTAACCCTGCAAGGTACACTCCTGCCCCTTTCTGGCAATGGAGGTTGTTGCGAGCACGGTCTGTCGCTCTGCTCTGCTGCATGCTGTGCTGCTTTGGGGGGTGGGTGGGTGGGTGGTCCTTCAGCTGCTACACAAGCACTCCAGAATCTAAGTTGGACTTGACGGGAAGTGGGGTGTGGCAGGGAACAACGACCATTCGACGCTCGATCACTTCGCTTTGCACACATACAACCGCAGCTCTGCATGAGAAAACTTCTTCGTCATTCTTTCGTCGTAGCACTTCGTTATTTTCACATCCTTTGGAGAGTTAGGACTCGTTTCTTGGTCATCCACTAAGCCATCACGCACACCTATCTCTGAATTCTTCCTCGACCTAACCTCGTTCCAAACGGGAGCTCGGTAGTCAAAGGCGAGCCAAGAGCGAATCCATGGCGTGGATAAACCTGTCGCGGAATCGCACCAAATCTAAGAGCTTTAGCGACACTTGGAAGGTCCTTCAGCTCGGACCCACGCGCCCCGCCATTGCCGTTCCCACCGCACCAAATCCGCGTAGTACAGACTTTCCCCTTCCCTTTCCCCTCCCTTGCGTTTCTCATACCTTCCGCTCCGCCGACCCTCGTTGCCTACCGGGAACTTCACAGCGGCCCCATGATGAATCGTCGCCGCTCTCTCTCCCGCCTGCCCAGCCGCCTCTCCCGCTCGCCTCTCTCGCGGAGTTTCCCGTAGCTGGCGTGTCCCAGCCATTGCAGCTGGTTCGGCCCGAGTCTGCCACTCCAGTGATTCCCTTCGGTCCATTCCAGCCTCTGCAGTGCACGAGACGCGAAGGCATCGCTTACCGTGAGCCTGTGGCGGAAACTCCGCCTTCCGGGGGAGCGGGAGAGGCATGCGCGGACAGGGCAGGAGCAAGGGAGAACCCGCTCGTGTCGGGATTGCCCGCGTCACAGCTGCAGCTTGTTCTAGTTGCGGGGGATACGACGGCCCTTCCGCCTCCGCCGGAGGAACCTTCCGCGTGGCCCTGGACGTGGCAGGAGCGCCTCCGCGCAGTCAAGCGCCAGCGGATGGACGCGCGGGAATGTGAAGAAGCGGCGCAAGGGGAAGCTGGGGGGACTGCCGGAGCGCAAGATTGGGGGAAGCTAGAGGCGGAAGCGGCGGAGGAGAGGCGGCGGAAGCAGCGGCTGGGCATTTTGAGCGGGATGCGTCAGATGCTGGACAGCCCTGGTTTCGCCGCTGTGCGCGGGCAGAAGAAGATAAAATTTGTCGTCCGTCAAGGAGGCTTTAGGCACCGCCTGCCGACAATGCGAGGCGCGTCGAGTGCGAGCGGAAGCGGCGAGCAATCGAGCGAGAACACAAACTTTGAGGAGCGCGCGGCGGAAGCCGCCAGGGAGGCGGAGAACGTGCGCGCGACGGCTGATGCCGCAAAACTCGCAGCGCACGACGCGGCGCAACTAGCCGTTGGAGGCCGCGTGGGCGCGGCTGGCGGTGTAGATGCGACCGCCGCGGCGCCGCTGCACGCGCGGGAGCTGGGCTCGAGTGTTGTGACGGTGCGCAGAGGCGGAAGCTCGTCGGGAAGAAACGGCAGAAGGAATGGGGGCGGCGGACGGTGTGGAGAGTACGAGGTGGAGTCAACGCAGTGCGCGGGGGAAAAGGCGGAGAATGCGGAAGAGCGGTCGGGTTTGGCGGAGCGCGGGGAGGCAGCGCATCCGATCTCGTCACCCTGTTTGGATGCGGACGAGGCGGAGCGAGCGGGGGAGAAGCGGAAAGCAATCGAGGCGCAGACGGCAGCGGACGGCGCTGCCGGCCGCGCCCACGTGCGCCGTCGCCATGGCCTTCCCAGCCGCCTGGGAGGACCCGCTGCTCCGCCAAACACCGCTGCTCCGCCAACCACTGCTGCTCCTGTCGCTCCTCCCACCTCGGCGCGCCTTGGCAGTCCGTCGCCTGCACTCCCCAACGCACTCAATAACGCACCCAACGCCGCTCTCGCTTTCCCTCTCCTCTCTTCAGACGCTCCCCACCGTTCCCGACCCCCTCTACCATGCCGAACCACCCCACGGCTGGCCGAGCCTGTGCAGGCTCGGCAGACAGCACATCCCGGTGCTTCAGGCGTGGCAGCAGCAGCGGCAGCCTCAGCTGACGCAGCAGCGCCAGACTCGGCAGTCGCAGCGGCAGCAGCTGCGGCAATTGCAGCGAGTGTGGACTTCCCCCTGTGGGTGCGGCAGCTGCAGGCGTGTGCGGGGGCGGGCGAGGAGGAAGGGCGTGCGTCTGAGTGCACGGGGGAAACACCGGGGTCCATGCTGGAGGCACCGGAGGTGCAGCCCGAGATGGAGGGCAGTGGTAGCGGTAGCAGTGGGGAGGGCAGTGGTGGTGAGGAGGAGGATGAGGCAGAGAGCAGTGGGGGGAAGTGAGAAAAGGGCCGAGGGGTGTGGAGTAAAGGTCAAGACAAGTAGGCTTACTACTGTAGTAATGATATTTGTAATGATATTTGTACACATTGTTGTGGAAGTGCATGAGAGCTTGCCCCCACTTCAGTTGTGAGGTTCGTCATCCCTTAGCTGGTCACTCAATAACGAAGTCATCATTTCAATGCAAAATGCTTATGGGAACACCGGATAATCTTATCATCGTAGCCTTCTGTTTGTTGGGAAATATTTTAGACCTTTGACTTGATGAAAAGTACAGTGCGACAGCAAGGACACATAACTGACTCGTTACTGAGCAGTTACCCGAGTCGGCACTGTATCGAACCGCAACAGCAAAAGCAGTTTGTATTCCCTTGTAATCATATAAAAAGCTTGTATCTCTTTGCTATTATCAACTTATCTTGTTCTCACACACCAGTACAAAGTGGTTCAAGCAACTTTTATTAACGCTTCCGCAATTACAACATCTCTACTTCAACACTTGATCTTAGCCTTCAAAGATCCTAAGGGCTTTTCTCAGCCGAACACGCAATAAAAGTCTATACCAATCCAAGAGTGTTACGATCCTAAGGCAATTTCTCAGCCCAACATGCCATGAGAGCTACTTGGATTTACTAGACCTCTGAACTACGACTATTGTTATGACTCAGCCACCCACTACACTAGCAGCAGATTCTTCATCGCCTTGTCAAACATATATGATATAGCCTGTGTAGGCTGTAGTGGGGTAGACACTATGGGGTACAGCTTTTATAGGTTTTCATACTTGTACCCATCTCCTTCCTAGTCCACATTCATTCCTCGTACATTTCTCACATGGTATAGAGCGGGTTCCCTAGTGGGACCGTTTTTTTTAAGGGCCCACCACATTTTTTTTTTTTTTTTATGCCCTGCCCGAAGTGCGCTCCTTGCCCTGTCGCGCGCCTCGCGCCTGCCTTACCTGCGCCCCGTGCGCCTGCCCTGCCGTCGCGGCCCTGACTAGAGCCGTCGCGGCCCTGCTGTCGCGGCCCCTGCCGTCGCGGCCCCTGTTATCGCGGCCCCTGCAGTCGCGGCCCCTGCCGTCGCGGCCCCTGCTGTCGCAGCCCCTGCCGTCGCGCCCCCCCCCCCCCCCCCTGCCGTCGTGGCCCCTTGCCGTCGCGGTCTCTGCCGTCGAGGCCCCTGCCGTCGCGGCCCTGCCGCCCTACAGACGCGGCTCCGCCGCCCTCCAGTCGCGGCCCTCACTTCCGCCGTCGCAGCCCTGCCCTGCCGTCGCGGCCCTGCCTGGAGCCGTCGCGGCCCTGCCGCCCTGCTGTCGCGGCCCCGCCTGAAGCTGTCGCGGCCCTGCTTGGCCGCTGTCGCGTCCCTGCCTGCAGCTGCTGCGGCCCTTCCTGCTGCCGCTGTTGCGGCCCTGCCTACCGCCGCCGTTGGCGGCCCTACCCTGGTAAGCGCACCGCCGCACCCGCGCCGCCCTTGCGAGCCGCGCCGCCCTGCCAAGTCGCGCTGCTCCTGCTGCTACTGCTGCTGCTAGGCTACTGCTGCTGCTCCTGCTGTCATGGCTAGCCCTAATGTCCTTACCTTCGATGCTGAGGGTCGAGCGGCCGATTTTGAGGTCTGGGTCGATGATCTGCAACTTTTTCTGCAGTGTGACTCTAAGGACGGAGTCTCACTGTTCGACCACATGTCTGGCGTCGCTGTTGCCCCTGCTACCGATGCTGACAGTACAGTTCGCTCACAGTGGACCACACGCGATGCTACTGCTCGTCTAGCTGTCCGTAGTCACCTGCCGTCTGCTGAGCGCGCGCACTTTAGAAAGTACAATACCGCTAGGACTCTGTACGACGCTGTTGTTGCGCGCTACTCCTCCCCTGCCACTGCTGCCCTTAGCCGCCTCATGCTGCCGTACCTGTTCCCTGACCTGGCTGCTTTTGCCACGGTTGCTGACCTCATTACGCACCTCCGCACTAGTGACACCCGCTACCGCGCTGCGCTTCCTGCCGAGTTCTGTGCCGCGAACCCCCCCCCTTATGTACATCACTCTCTACTACCTTGTCACCCGGCTCCCTGACTCCCTTCGCTCGGTCAGGGGACACTTCCTCTCCCTTTGCCCCACCACGCTCACCGTTGACCTCCTCGAGGAGCGCCTCCTTGCAGCAGAGACGCGTATAGTCGCTGTAGGAGCCTCTCGTGGTGACCCTCGTGCCCCTTTCTTTGAGGGGTGCTCCCCCATCCCTCTCTTGCCCTCTGTTGCCTCTGCTGCTGCTGTCGACCTCGTTGGCACCGAGTCGGTAGGAGCTGCGTCTGCTCCTAGTGGGAGGCGCCGCAGCGGCAGGAGCAAGGGGGGCAAGGGTGCTGGAGGGGATGGCGGGGGCGGCGGTGGTGGCGGTGGAGGCGGTGGAGGGGGTGGGGGTGGAGGTGGGGGTGGTGGCGGGAGTGGGGGCTTCAATAGCGGTGGTGGAGGTGGCGGCGGCGGCGGCGGAGGCGGTGGGGGTGGCGGCGACGGTGGTGCTGGTCGGGGTGGCGCTGTGCAGCGGGGAGGCTTTGGCGGTGGCCAGCGCCAGCAGCAGCAGCGCCCTCGTGAGACCCTGTCGCCCCAGCAGCTTCGTGAGTGTTACGCTGGGCGTGGGAGGTCTGGGGGTGCTGGTCCCTGCGCTTACGTTCTCCGCACCGGCGACCGCAGTGGAGAGACGTGCAGCGGCCCGCACGCCACGCTCCGCTGTTTTGGCCGCCTGACAGACGCCTGGCGTACACAGTTTCCTGACGCCACTGAGATCCCTCGCTGGGGTGATCTGCTTAAGTCGGGGGTTGCTATCTTTGATCTTAATTATGATGCTATCCTTGCTGCTATGTATGCTGTGTCTATTAGTGCTGCGGGTGACTGTTACCTGTGTGTTCCGCCCGACCCGGGCATTGAGGCTACTGCTCAAGGTGCTAGTGAGTCTGCTGCTCCAGGTGCTGGTGAGGCTGCTCTCTCAGGTACCGCGTCGGCTCAGGTCTTGCACACTTTCACCCTTGACTCGGGTGATTCCCGCTCCTTCTTTCGCGACTGCACCACACTCTCGCCACTCAGTCGGCCGGTGGCAGTCTCTCTGGCTGACCCCTCTGGGGGTCCGGTCCTTGCACACTCCTCCACGGTTCTGCCGTGTCCGACGGTCCCGTCTGGCTCTTTGTCTGGCCTCCACCTCCCCTCGTTCTCCACGAACTTGGTGAGTGGAGCTGACCTTCAGGATGCGTGGGTTGACCAGTTCACTCCTGGAGGTCAGCGGGTGACCCACTGTTCGTGTACTCGGATGGGCCGGCACCTGGCCACGTTCACTCGTCAGCCTGGGTCGAGCCTGTACACCCTGACTACTGTGCCTCCTCCGGTTGCTGAGTCTGGTCAGGTAGCTGCATCGGGTCAGGTGTTTGCTGCAGCGTCCCGGTCTGGTCCTGAGTCTGCCCCCTGTTCGTGTCGCCTCCTGTCTCACCAGACTCTCTTCTGGCACCACCACCTTGGTCACCCCTCCCTGCCTCGTCTCTGAGGCATGGCCTCCCGTGTCCTTGTCACTGGTCTTCCCCGGTCTCTCCCTCCCCTCCCCTCGGGGCCTGCCCCTACCTGCGTTCCTTGCATCGAGGGGCGGCAGCGCGCCGCTCCTCACTCCTCCGAGTTCCCTCCGACGGAGGCTCCCCTGCAGACTCTTCACATGGACGTGTGGGGCCCAGCCCGCGTCCGTGGACAGGGTCACGAGCGCTACTTTCTGCTGGTCGTTGACGACTACTCGCGTTACACCACAGTCTTCCCCTTGCGCCGCAAGGGTGAGGTCACTGAGGTGCTGATCGACTGGATCCGCGCTGCTCGTCATCAGCTCAGCGAGAGTTTCGGCTCGGACCTTCCTGTTCTGCGTCTGCACTCCGACAGAGGTGGAGAGTTTTCCTCCGACCTTCTGCGGGCCTTCTGTCGTGCGAAGGGCATCCGCAAGACGTTCACGCTTCCGGCCTCTCCGCAGCAAAATGGGATTGCTGAGCGCCGCATTGGTATGGTCATGGACGTCGCTCGTACGTCCATGATCCATGCGGCTGCTCCCCATTTTCTGTGGCCGTTCACGGTTCAGTACGCGACGCATCAGATCAACCTCTAGCCCCGGGTCTCCGTGCCGAAGACCACACCTACTCTGCGGTGGACGGGGAAGGTTGGCGATGCGTCTGCGTTCCGTGTCTGAGGATCTCAAGCTTTCGTCCGCGACTTGTCTACGGACAAGCTGTACTCCTGTGCTGTTCCCTGCGTCTTCCTTGGCTTCCCCCCTGACGCACCTGGTTGGCAGTTTTACCACCCCACCTCGCGCCGTGTTTTGTCCTCTCAGGACGTCACGTTTGACGAGTCGGTTCCTTACTACCGTCTCTTCCCCTACCGCACTGCCCCCCTCCCCCCCTTGCCGCTCTTCCTCGCGCCAGGTCCTCCCCCGGTAGACCCCCTCCCCCCTCAGGGTCCTGCCCCCTCAGGTGTGTCCTAGGTAGACGCAGTCGAGCCTGTTGAGGTAGCTGTTGACTCTGGTGCTGCTAGGGGTGCTGAGCCTGCGGGTGCCGGGTCTGGGGGTGCTGAGCCTGAGCGTGCGGAGCCTGGTGGTGCTGAGTCTGGGGGTGCTGAGCCTGGGGTTGCTGAGTCTGGGGGTGCGGGGCCTGAGGGTGCTGAGCCTGCGCGTGTGGAGTCTGGAGGTGCTGCGCCTGGAGGTCCTTTGGGTGCTTCATCCCGGCAGGAGCCACTCTCTCCACAGCAGTTGCGCGAGTGGTTTGCTCGCCGCTGGAGCCGTGCTGCTGGAGCTGGTGGTTCTACGGGCGCTGGAGGTCCTGCTGCTGCTGGAGCTGCTGGAGGTTCTGGAGCCACTGGTCCCGGAGGTGCTCGTACTGGAGGTACTGGAGCTGCTGGGCCTGGTGGTGCTGCTGGGGCTGGAGCTGTTGGAGGTGCTGGAGCTGGCGGTACTACTGGACCCGGTGCTAGTGGAGGGGCTGGCCCTGGCGCTGCTGGTGCTGCT